CACACACACACACACACACACACACACACACACACACACACACACACACACACACACACACATACACACACGATGAGCAAAATCGAATGAATCTTCCACTAGAACATTAAAAGTATACACTACTTACCTGCATACACCCCTCGCTGGCCTTTTCGAATGCGACCCCTCATCATTTCGTCTCACCGCGCGACTTCGACGCAACGGGCTTTTCAGGCGATGGAGTTTTCGACGTCCAGCCCCGCGGCCGTGTCTTTTTGCGCCCTCGTCGGTTAGCGTCAGTCAAGGTTTCCGGCCTGTCTGAGCATGTAGGATGTGTGGTGCATTCATTCTCTCTATAATCGTGTTTCTCGATGCAGAGATGAGGCGGTGCACTTCGCTATTGCTATGTTGAGGCAAAAGGTTGCCTGAAACTTGCATCCGTCTGAGGGTCAAAGCGGTCGGTGGTTCTTTCGTGCTCGTCGTTGTTTGGGTAGTAGTGATCTAGTAATCATAGAGAGCGAAGTGCGAAGTAAGGAGCAAAGAAAAGAAGAAGAAGAAGGGAAAAAAAAAAGAGAAGAAAACGAAGAAGAAAAAGAAGTAGAAGAAGAAGGAGAAGAAGAAAGAAGAAGGAGAAGGAGAAGAGGTTGGAGGGAGATAAGAAAAGTGGGAGAAAAACATAACTGTTCGCCACCGATTGTTGACCTTGAGTACAACGCACATTTCGTTTATTTTGCATTTTACATTATTGTTATTATTATTATTGCGAGGAATAAGCCCTCGCGCGATCCTTATCAGACATGCACATGTTGTGGGCAGTGACCCTCAGCAATCTTATGCCAAAATTTGACATTTTTGTCATATGTGGGCACTTAAACAGTCGCAGCACGCCAGTTGGTTACAAGGAAACATGAATCTCCTAGCTCTTTTCATAAACATGTGTTGTGCTATACACTTGAAACCCAGGGCCGAGTGGTTGCACCCCGAGTACACGCATTGTGAGGTCGACACATCACTTAATAACCGCAGACGAATGAAAATGCAGCATTGTCGTCACACAACTACTGCAAGTCAATGAAAATGCGCCAAACACTTGTGGCCTAGGTAGACATTGCGGACACGCTGCTGCATTGTTGCACAAGTGTCTGCATGTGCGCTAGCTGGTCGAGGCGCACGCAGACACTGAAAAGGTGAGGCCGCTGCGCTAGCGGCCATAGCCGGGCTACAGGGCGCGAGGCAGAAAAGTGTGACGAACGGACTTTGGAAGGAGGTGCAAAAGTAAGATACAGGGAGGTGATGAGTGGAGACAAAGGTACATACCTAGTATATGTAGGAGGTCGACATTGATGTTGACGACATGTACATTGGTCTTCGAAGTCGAAGTGAGCCTGTTGTAAGAACGTAGATAGGCTAGGTAGGCAAGTAAAGTAGTAGGATGGATGTTGGGCGCCGAACAGAGAGGAGCAACACTAAATAATGTGTTGGTGTGGCTTGAGGGCTTGAACATTGGCTCAGAAGTTCATTGTATTGCTCTTTATTTTGATGAAATTTTTGTGCATTTGAGCTTTCTGCTCGGTACATGACTATCTGGGCTACTTCGTGACTCGACAATTTGGATTTATGTTTATCGCCCTTACTCATATTACTAACATTATTTTTTTCTTCTATTATTATTATTATTATTTTCTTTTATATTTGTCTCTTACTCGTTTTTAAAAATGACTTACTATATAAGGTAGATTCATCCCATGGTAGCCGACTTATTACTGCAGCGAGGATCACCCTGCAATCACAGTTGTGTCAACCTCACTCATGGTTTTGGGACAGTGGTACAAACAACGATGCGTGCCTAGGGTGACCACGCTGTGAAGGAAAACGGCTCACGCGAGGAGGAAGTAGGGCACGACACCAGTACAGGGTGGTGAGATCGTGGTAGGTAGGTAGATAGTGAGCGAGTGTTGTCCGCAACCAGTGGAAAAAGGACGGATGTTGTTCACAGCCAATGAAGTGAGTGAATGCGGTAAAATATGTTGTACTATGTGGTATGCTCGCGCTTTGACGATGACCTTGGTCATGGGAAAGGGAAGAGAGTGAGATAAATTATCGATGCAACTTTGTCCAAGTTCAAATTGAGCCAACTAGTATTAGGATAAACGAGGTTATCTGCATCCCCTCATATATACCTCTATATCAGACTGTATGTACTACGTCATATTAGTATGCATGCATTTATGTCTAACTATATGAATCTGCGTTTTTTTATTGATTAAAGTTGAGTTAGGAAAATTTTATGCATGTATGAGCAATGGTTGAAATGATTTTAGATCTCTTATATAGTGAATACATGATGTAATACAGACCCTATGCGTGTCAATCTCGTTGTCTGATTGGTGCTATGAGTTGCGTATGACTAACTAATTATGAAAACACATGGTGAGAACGAGAAACTCTCGTATAGGTTGTCTCAAAGTGGGTGTGTTTATTTTTTGGTGGATGAGACAGCGGTGATGTGGACTTTGCGAAGCCTTGTCCCGCTAGATGAGATTTTCTAACATTGATGAGGGTTGAAATCACTATAAAAGTTATTGGGTTGTGCATGGTTGTGTATGCTTGGGATTATTAATTGGCTAACCCAGGATATATGTATGTATCCTTGTCGAAACACTTTTACTACTAACGCCCACCTCCACTAAGTCAAACTGACTCAATTCAAGGGTCAGTTGAAGAGTCTTATGAAAAACACAGTGAGGTGAGAGTTTCGTGTGAACTTCCTTTATTGTGTGTGTCACCGAGTCATAGGGTTGGGGTCATGTGTGACCTGTCCGAGTGACTCTAAAACTTTTGATTGATCTAAGATACAATGATTCTGCTTAAGGAGTAAACTAGCAAATATGATAAGAGGAGCGAGGTTCCGTGAGACTTCCTTATTACCTAAGTCTGCTTAAGTGAGGAAGGTGGTAATAGGAGAAGCGAGGTCGCGTGAGATTTACCCTACCACCAACTGACTAGGATAAGAAGAGATGGTAGGAGGAGGAGGAGATCCCGTGAGGTCTATCGTACTACCAAATAACGTCACCCAATGGAGAACGGTGATAAGAGAGGTGAGACCCCGTGTGGTCTGCTTTATCACGTTCCTGATTCTAAAGAAAAAAGAACATGGCAAGGGTGAGGATCCCGTGTGATTTGCACTACGATCTTGAATCTTTTAATTGATCCTCATTGCCTGATTCTGACTTGGATATGATTGTTTATCTATGTTTGTCTTATGTACCTACTAAGTCTGATTTGATAAAAAGTTAGTGAAACTACCTAGAGGAAGTTATACCGACATAATATAATTTCATATTAAAATAAAGTTCACTGTATTGAATTTCATATGAGGTGATATTAATACGAAAGGGGTGTTGAAACCATGTTGGCCTGTGTGTGATTGCAGGTCATCTTAACCAGGAGAACTCATTATGAGTCTATACAAGATTACATGATGTTGTCTTATGGTAACAAATTTACTTAAAAGGCAAAAAATCTTATTCACTTCATGTTAGAAAGAGACAATGACTTATGTTTTTCCTTATGAATTCAGACCGTTCATGTGAATGTGATGAAGCGTGCGTGCCATCTCCTTACCAATTACTCAACCCTATTTCATTTCATATGTATGTGTGATATGATAAATAACTTTCATGTAAAGATATGTTGAATGAAATTGATCATTAGGTAGAATGAGTATATGTCTTGCGCACAACCCCTGATGATTCAAGCGTTGAGGGGACTGTGCTTCGGAAAAGAGTTATGTTGTGAGTCATACCTCTTGAAACTATTTATGATAAAAGCATAGTATGCGTCAATGTTCGTTAGTAAGTTAACCTGAATGGTAAGTCGATCCGGAAGATCAGCGCCCTGGTACGCGACATGTATATGAGTCAGTCTCAGGCGTTCAACCCCGCGTATGCCTATGCTACGACAATTGAGCAAACGCCCTCTGGTGACTTATCTCTACGGTTGCAAGTAAAAACCTTCGCATGAGAGTCAGTAGCTCAACAAGGATTCACTTACCTAAAGGTGGTGACAACCCCTCAGGTAGAGGTGAGTTGTATCTCTCGGGTCCTCTGTCTTGTCGCAAGGAGCCGCAAGAGGTACAGCTGGCGTGGGTCTTTGGCTGAAATGCTTCCAAAACTCCTGTGTGATGTGACCGTGAGGTTCGACACTAAAATACTTAACGTGTGGGTGTGGGACCACCGTGCTCGATAGTGGCCTGGAGGGTCCCCCTGCCGGACCGATATACCCGATAGTGGCGCTGCTCTCCACATGCACTAAAGATAAGAAGATGGCCGTGTATCTTCCCTTGTTTTCACAAAAGATTCATTCTGTGTAGCAAGGTCATGGTCCTGTTTTTTTTGAAAGAAAAAGAATGGTTGCTGGTTTGTTGTGACTGGACATAGCGAATTGCGGCCATATGCATATAGGTACTGCTGTAAATGCGGTCAGATGCATTTACAATATTGATAGTGTTAGTACCCTCTGATTTCCCACATTTGCACATCAAGTGAAGACAAAAGGGTGGATGTTCAGGGGCCCTTTCTGTTTCCTCATTAGGGGCCAGCTATTCCTAGCCCCTTTCCATTTACTATCGGTACCATCAGCAGAACCAAATACGAGGAAGAGATAGTAGGTGAATCCCTGGGGGGGGTTAGGCCTCGTTTCTATCCTGTTACTACCACAGTCCATTTCGTGGCGTTACGGTTGTGCGTGGCCACCGGTCGTCCGTTAGCGCCCGCCAGCGTCGGTCGTCCCTCCAGTGCCCGCCACCGCCGTACCGTCGCTGCAGAAAACCAGATCAGGGCCTTTGTCCGTTTTGCCAGGCTCAGCACACGCCTATCCCAGGCCTGAACCTCTCTTCCGGATTTGGGAGCCGGAGAAACCGTGGCACTTCGCCTGGATACGAACTGCACATGTCTCGGTTCACTTCCACAAGAGCCACAGCGGAGTGTGGCGGAGAGAGGGAAGCATGTGAGGTATAGGAGGAACTGTGCTGGGTATGGCAGCCGTACCTTCTTTCGACCGTGGATACACCTCGTTCGTACCGGGCGAAACGTCGCGCTTTGATGGATTGAAATGACACCTCGAAAGAACGGCAAAGACAGGGAGGCGCTCGAAACACTCGGAGATGCATGCACAAACTCACGGGGGAAGACAAAGGGGCTCGTAAGTCCCGTATCGATGGGGGAGGGGGAGAGGAAAGAATGAAAGAGGGGGAGGGGGCCGAGGGAAAGCAAGGAAACCAAGCACCTGAGAGGAAAGGGATGAGAACAGCAATTGGTGGGGTTCTTGATGAGGGCCTCTTCTTCTCTGAAAGTAGACGATGCTGCGCGAAGGTAGGGAAGCAGGCCATCCGTTCAAGCGCACCAAGGACCTTTCCCCAATGAATAAGCATCATCATTAGCGATGGCGACGGTGAAATAACGTGTGCGCGGAAAAATCGATGTTCTTCCGGTTGCTTGTCGGAGGCTTGTCTCCATTCTCCTCCCCTTCTTCCTCGCTCTCCTTCATTGCTCTCACATGTTCATCAAGTCATCAGTGTCGGCGCTGCCTCACCCGAATCGACTCAAGAGTGCGCAGGGAGCTCCGCGGCTTGTCACGTCGTAGGTGCAGCGCCACTGTTTGCAGAGTTGGGGAAGATTCGGAAAAGGATGCACGCACGTAGAGTCACAGCAGGCATATGCGACCTGCGACGATCCTTTCTGCCACAGCCGTTCGTCGCGGGAGGTTTCAACACCTCCGTTCCGCTTAATAATCAGCCGCTGGAATCGTGTTTGGCGTGCTTCTGACGCTCCTCATTCCCCTGCTCCTGCTGCTGAGACGCGCAGAAACTCCGGGTTGGATGATCATCGATGTGGCCGCTGTCATCCGTCCGTCCAAACCGCTTACGCGTCGTTCATGCTCGAAACGGGCACGGCAAGATAAGAGGGAGTAATTGGCTAACTCGTTGGCATAGTCGACCGGAGGGCAGTGAATGAGAAGCGGGCCAACCCCACCGTTGAGACTGGCGGTCTTCCTCTGGTTCTGTTCGCCATCGTCGCCGCGAGTTGAAGGTCCGACTGCTAACGTGCTCTTTTCCGCCGTTATTGTCAGTGGCGTCGACGCCGACTCCGCCCCTCCTCCCTCTGTCCATGTCTGCGCTTATCTCCTCGAAAAGTCCACGAACAAGAAGAACCCGGGGAATCAAAGTTCGCTCCCTGGCTGCGCTCACATGCATTGTTTTCTCCGTCTATCTCCGTCTTTCTCTCTCTCTCTCTCTCTCCCTCTCTCTCTTTCCTTGTCAAGCAGAAAGTCATCCTGCTCCCGATTGCCGGTTAGCAGCTGCCGACGCGTGGAGTCTTCATTATCCTGCTTTTTCTATTTTCTATCTCTTCTGCTAGCACTGGTACGAGCATTACAACGAAGTACGGGCTAGACCATCGGGTTAAAATTTTGTCTGCTCGGAGGATCGACTGGTGCTGAGTGACTAATTTGTTATTATGAATAGATGGAAACTCTGAGCGTGCCATCCCCATCCCAGGTGCAGCAGAATCAAGGGCGGGATCGACTGCGCTCGGCGGAGAGCGATATTCTAACAGCAGCGACAGCGGCCGCCGCTGCCGCCGCCGCCGCTGCGGTCGCCGCTGCAGCAGCCATAGCGGGGGACTCGACCACGACGGGGAGTCTGATGAATGCTCAAGAGGTAAGCAACTCTCAGTCGGACACGGAGTCTCTCGGAAGGGCGACGTATGGGGGACAAAGCATCACAAGTCTGGAAAGTGTCAACAATGGTTCCTCGGAGAAGGGTTCATCCTTGTCGGCCACTACTTCTTCGGCTGCAGGAGGAACGGTTGTCAATCTCCCTCAACATCAGCAACATCAGCAGCAACACAAGCCTCCACGTCCTTCCTCTTCACATGCGCAGTCCTCTCATCCGGTGGGTGAATCTGTGAGTAGACAGTCGTTCAGAGAAAATAACAACAATATGGGCACGGCGGTTCATTCGTCCGATGTTTCTAACGTTCTTCAGGCAAACGGAAGGATTGATCACGGCGATGACGACGGCGAAATCAACGGTGGGGCAATGGACAATCGCAGTGAGATGAGTAATGACAGTATGCGGGAGCTGGAAGATTTACTGACGAAGTTAAATCCCTTGGCTAAGGAGTTCGTGCCCCCCTCTCTACGAGCTGTCGGTGTCGGTCCCCACTCCGTCCAGCAGCATGCCGAAGGCGGATCATCATCGTCTTCGTCATCGTCAATGAATGCTAGAGGGAACACAGCAACTGCTCCAAGCGGCCAAGTCCAAAGAAAGGTCTGCTACCGTCGTGGCCCCTTCTTTATTCCTTTTGCCTGGGTTTCTCCCTTTTTCTCTCTCTTCTTAGTAGCCCGCGTATCTGTGTTTTCGCTTTTTCTCATTCTCGTCTTAGCGAGCCGCTTTGTCGGAGTGTTTCTTCGTTTGTCGTTGCACACTCTCCCTTTATTACTCACGGCCTCGGAAAGAGCGATACTAAGATCTCTTTCACGCCAATCCGAGGAGGGTTTTCAGAGTCAACAGGATCTCTTTCAGGGGGTCCTAGCCCTTGGACTACTGTGCAGGCCAGTGCTTATCTCCCGCCTCGTCTCTTTCCCATTCTCGTCTGCTCCGCTTCTGCTCATGCTCGTGTTTCCGTCCTCGCACCCGCGCGCTGCTCTTTCTGCCGCCTTTTTTTATCCTCGTTTGTTAATTCCCTCCTGAACTATTTTCACTCCTTGTTCTTGCTGTCGTCATGACGCACTGCAATTAACCGTATACCTTTCTGGTTCCTCGACTAGCAGGTCACCTCCTTGTTTCTCCCTCCCTGTTCTCCGTGTCACTCTTGATTTGTTTATTGCTCTCCTGGCCCCATTCTCTGCCTATTTGACTTGCCTATACGGCTTATGTCTCCAGCTGTGGCGACTTATTTCGTGCGTCATAGCTATGCCTCTTTCCCTGGTCTCGCCGAGATCGGTTTTGCCTCTATTTCTCTTTCACTCTGTGCGATTCTGTAATCCCTGTCCCTTCTTTGCCTCTAGTGTCTGTCCGCCTTCCGTGTCCATTCATTAACCTCTCGCTCGATCCATTCTGCGGCCCATTTGCTCGGTCTTCCATCTTCCGTATTCCATATGCAATCCGTCGTACCGGTGCATCGCACGATCTGTTTCGCTCTGCTCATCCATGAGCCGATCCAGCCACCTTTTAATCCATCATCCCTCCATCCATCCAATCGGTGTTCGCCAGGCTGCCGTCCAGCAATGTATGTCCACAGATATATCCGTTTGCGTGTTTTTAGCATCTACCTTTCATCTTACGCATTCCATGTTCATACATGCATGTATTCGTAGGTGTGCATCGATTTAATAGTGTTTAGGAGCCCATGTGTGTGTCATGTGCATACGACCATCGGGTGGGTTGTGTCCCCTATCGGCTGACTGGAATGGATCCATATTCTGTTCATTGTGCGGCGTTTTGCTCCTTCCTGTAGGCCTTTCGGTAATCCCACTTCATCCTGCGATGACTACGTGGTTCGCTGTTATATGCAGCTCGCAAACGCGTACGTGCGCTTGCTGGGCGAGTCTGCAGAAGTGTGATGGAGAGTCTGAGGTCGTCCTTGCGTTTTAGGAATGTGCGCTCCTAGCCAAATAATTGTGTGACAACGTACATGAAGAAGAGAATGTCCTGTCACCTCTCAGCCTTCCCCCCCCCCCCCGGACCTGAAAACAGATGCTCACGTCCACCGATGGTCATACCAGAGAAAGACGTAATTTAAGTGCTTGCGGAATCTATGAATGGGCGCTGATTTTGTGTGGTGAAGTCGAAAATGACCGAATGGGGACTGATTATGCGTGGTGAAGACGAAAATGAACGAAGCGCACGAAATGTAAAAGCACTTTCTGAAATTCATCGAAGTCTGTTCATAGCCTTGCCTACGTAACGGTAGACATACGGAAACAGAAATCGTGAAGCAGAGAAGAATTGACGCAAAACCGGTCGAGAACGGCCAGAATGATTAGCGAAGTTTAACAGCCAGTGGAGTGAACGGCCACAGTACAAGTAACGAATAAATTATCCCCTACCGAAAATGGTTACCTCAATCTAACAGACAGGTGAATATTGAACGGGAAGGCTGGAGGAAAAGAGGACAGCAAGCAGCGAAGAAAAGAATTAAGTCAGAAATGTAGACGGTGCATCTATGTTTTCCGAAAAGGGGGGGAGGGAAGGGCGGAAATGTGGACGGTGCATCTGTCTTCCCGATTTTGGGGGAGGGAGGTGGTGGGGGAAGGAAGGAACAAGAGAAGAGGGCAAGAAACGGGCTACTGTGACAGGCTGTCCCGTCAGATTTTCATCGACTCATCAGGGGGTTGTATCTTTGATAATCCGCGGAGTCCACTAAACCGATGATACTGTTAGTGGTTATCCAACTTAACCCCAGATACAGGTGGGCACCGGCCACTGCCGTTTAGGGTATCTGTGACGTAACTCAGAGCAGACTATCACCAACTTTACGCTTTGCAGGAGTTACTCTCGGTATGGTTGCAGAGAACTGCCGGGTGAACTGTAGGCGGAAAGGGGGAAATGAACAAGAAACTGGGGGTTGTGACAATATGGGGCTTTTGTCCGAGCTTGTGAGGACAGGGAGTTACGGAGTAATGGCCTACAGTAATGGCACGGTGATGGTGGCATCAACCACATCAATGATTTTCTCCATACTGCGCATATGCTCTGCATAAGAGACTGCGAACCTACTTCCACTGCAGAACGCGAAACACGGTGTCGACAGAAGGTGCCCTCGGGCACTGTAGCAGTACTTCCACGGAATTATTGTAGGATTGCAGGTTCTTCTCTCGAGTCATTGACTGCAGACGCCACTGTCCATTGCTCGCAATACTTCCACGGAATTATTTCGGTAGCAAGGTGCTTAAAGCACTGTCCTACATCTATCATCTCAGTGTGAACATCCTCTATACACTGATATAGCGCGCCGAGTTTCCGCCAAGGATGACAAGATGAATGAATACCATCCTGTGGTGAACCTTCTTCTTTCGTCCTTGTCGTTAACCGGCAGTGGGATCGGCTGTACCGAGTGCTGCAAGGAATCTTCAATGTGCGATTACTTCATCATCTATTCCGTTCGTGCCGTATTTGCCAGGAACCCCTGACCCCTGCTTCCGGCACACACTCATTCTGCTTCTTGTCACCCTTGCCTGATTTCCTGTCTCCTCTTCTCAGTAAGGTGCAACTGGGCTTCTAGCAAGCAGGCAGGTGTTTGAGCACTTTACGCTTGACTGCACAACGTGGGGAACTTTGTGCCCACCACGAAAACGAAAAGAATGAAAGGATATAGAGAAAGGTGATGGGAACAAAGGAAAGATTTGGGTGCATTACTCTTACCTCTGTTCTCCCTCCCGGCGCAAATATGCTCTTATAATATTATGTGTATTGTTCTTAGTGCGTAGAAAATTTGAAAAGGAAAAGAAAAAGGAAAAAGGGGACTAGGGAGAAATTAAAAGAACAATTCCTTTCTGTTCCTCTGTACTCGGAAAAGAGAAAAGAAAGGAAAGGGAGCAAAAAGAAAAGGAAAGGGTAAACGAGAAAAGGGTGCAGTTCCTTTTGGATCCTCTTCCTCGATTCTCCTCCCGCGGACCTACATCTGTGTGCACTTGCCTCTGTGTTTGTGTGTGTTGTATGTGTGTGTGTGTGCGTGTGCGCGCGCGCGCGCGCGCGAGAGAGAGAGAGAGAGAGAGAGAGAGAGAGAGAGAGAGAGAGAGAGAGAGAGAGAGGTGACTATAGAAAGCGATTTCATGAAATGTCCGCAGAGGCCGAAAGAAACATTTAAAAACTGCTGCGAGGAGCAGGTTCTCAACTGCTGCCGAGAACATAATGACGCGGGAGGAAGCGGGGACTAGAAAATGCGACCAGAATTGGCTGTCGTAAGTGCGAACGGCAGACGACAGACTTCCTTCTCCGTATCCCCAGTCCCCAGCCCCGCCAGAATGCAAGGTGTAACGGAGTTCCCAAAGCTGCCTGGAAAATGAAGTGGGAAAAAAACATATTGCAACACGAAAGCGGAGGATGAAACGAGTTGGAGTCGTGTCTCAACTTCCCCTAGCTTGGCGGTGGTAAGCAACCATACTCTCGCCCCCAAGAATAGATGGGGCATGTGTGGTGTGGTGTGTGGAAACAAAAGAAAAAAAAATAAAACCATGCCATGAGGTGAATAAAATTGAATGAAGACAAGGGCGGATACCAATCAGTCGAATCGCTTTGCCTTTCAGAATGCTCAGCGTGATTTGGCTTTTACGCTCACCATTCCAGTCCGTCCTTGATCTCACAATGTCATAGTGACCCTGTCAATCACCCTTGCTTTGCTGTGTGGCTTGTTGTTCTTGGTTTTGTTTGCATCACTTTCGTTGTTCTTTATGTATGTATACTCCCAGGAGTGGTTGATACTGGTGGGGGGAAAAAAGGGAGACCCTTGCCCCCGTGTTCTTGTCTTTCCTAGTTTTTTTGGCGCAGTGAAAGGAGGTGCATGCGCGATTTGACCACTTTCTTATTACTTTACTATTGATTCGACTACTTCTTCATAGTGTACTATTCGATTTGACTACTTTCTTTTTGTGTCCCATGTGTTTGGACGATGTGTGCGAACACGCGTTCAATGCATTCTTCATCGTCTAACCCTGTGCGTGACTTTCACTGCGAATGGACCTGTTACAGAAAAAGAACGGATACAGCAGCGGAGGAAGGAGACGAAGCTCCAGAACAAGCAGAGCTCAGCAAGAGGATAGTGTGAGGAGGACTGTATATGTCTCTGACATTGACCAGCAGGTGAGGTTCTGGTACCCGTTTTCTTACCCTGCCATCTGCCACCCTGCTGGCGTTCTCGGTCGGTTTCAGCTGCTTCCACCCCCTAGTATCACAGAACATAGGCAAGCGTTGAAAACGTTTTGTCCTACCAACGGGCCTAGCTCAGTTCGTACATACATGAACTTCTTAATCGGAGACCTGAGTTCAAATCCAGATGAGACCAGATGAATGAAATAGTATAATTCTGAATTACCTGGGGTGATATCTGAAGCCGTTGCCCTTTACCTTGTTTAAAAACAACAACAAAAAAGGTCCTCTGGGCTGTGTGGAGGTAAGCTGGGTTTGTGCGTTTAAATTCGAGCAGTGGAGCGATCAGTGCTCTTTCCTCCCCACTATCTGAGAACGTAGGCAAACAGCCAAGCTGCTCTCCTCTGGGCCATGTTGGGGAAAGCTGGGTTTGGGGCCTGCCAATTTTCAACAGCGGAGGCAGCTCTACGTCTGTGCAAGGAAGATGAGCAATAGCGAACTTCAGCAATCAAACAGCATCATGCATATGAGTCCAGATAGTCTTGACCTCGAACCAACAGCAGAATTGCATCACGAGATTCACCAAATAAGAACACACCAAGAGTTCATAATTGACAATGCTGAAATAGTCCCATCATCATCAACGAAGAACCAGAGTTGAAATCCTAAATCCTATCTGGCGCTCGGCGCCCAGACTACATGTGGCAGATCCTATCTAGCCTATACTACGAAGCCGAAAGATGACGTCAACAGCATTCCCGAAGTACGAGCATATGRCGACCAATGTCGCACGCTTCCAGCACCAGGTATGTCTCGCGCTACACTCACAACCTCGTTCCCCAACTCACAGATGCCWCTAGCACCCAAGGACCACCCTGCGCCTCACCCAGCTAACAGCAGCGCAGCTCGGCTATGGCTGCGTGCTCCTTCCCTGCTCGCCCGTGAGAGCGTAGGCGCCAGCCAGCAAATAGCGCAGCAGCGCTTGCGCAGCATGCAGCCAGCACCCGAATGCCGAATGAGGAGGCAGGCCCTTCCCTATATCGAAGTGGCCTGCCTGCGTCCAGTCCCAGGAAGCTTCCAGTAGGCCCCGGTAGCCTGAGGCCCAGCACGACGAGAGCAGGCCTTGGGCCTGGAGTGGTTGCAGGTGCCCAACTGCCTTCGGCCTGTGTTTGGCCCGGTACCCGTATCCAGCCCAGGGCCTGCCTCACATACATTCACACAGATGGCCCAGGGCCTGGATTCACTCAACCAACTGGCGCTGCGCAACTGCCTGAATTTCCCTGAGTTGCGTGGTGGCCAGAAAAGGGCCCTGAGGGCCTCGTCGAACCTGCCTTCACTTAGGGCGGCCGACGGGCTGCAAAATGGGGCCTTATGGGGCTCATAGAGGCACTGGCCTCGCATCTGTTTCTGTGATGCAACAAGTTGGAGCTGGACGCTTGCTGTGGTTTGCGGGCATTAATTTCTTTTTTTCTTTTTGATGCCCTTCTCATCTCACCATGCTGCTCGTGCTGATGAAGTTTGCTGAAGCTAAAATGGATGTCAACAGGACATCATCTGATGGTAAAGAGTTTTCATGAACTGTTGTATTTGCACATGGCTTAGCATCTGGTGAAAAGAAAACCATGGGTGTTTGAGTGATGAGATTTTGTGTGTTAAAGCGCCACTACCTTTCCCACGCAACTTTTAGAATCGAAAATGTAACATTTAGCTCATTATTTAGAAGTTGTGTGGTTCTTTGGAGGCTCGGGGTCACAGACCCCGAGGGCTGGCAAAGAGAGGCTTGGAGGTAGTGGTGGTTTAGCATGTGGGAGGGTCTTAGAAAAACTCTGCTTGGACCTGCGGTTCCTCGATTAGGTCCCCTTTGCCATGGAGAGCATCAGAGGATTGTTTTATTGAAGCAACTATGATCTTGCCACATTCTTGATGTGAAACTCAACTTTTAGACAGTGCCATCCATTGCCAATCAAGAAGTGGAAGAGATAAAGAAAGAGAAGAGAGTGCAGCAAAGAAGAACATGAACAAGAAGAACATAAAGATTGACCGAATGTCTCCTCCTCTCCTGTCGACCTCCATCATCATCATTGTCTTCCCTTACAAACTTCTCTTTATCTGAGAAGTCCTCCTCTACTACACCCTGCTGAGCTAGTAGTTGTTGTGGAACATCCCTGCCATGCTCGGATGTTTACAGGACTACACAACAGCCTACTACGCATGCTCGGATGTTTACAGGACTACACAACAGCCTACTACGCATACTATGCGACTCCCTCTTCCTGCCACCATAGCCACTCGCCACAAATGAAGTCAAAGTCCGGCTAGATCCCTCAGGGGCCCTCCCGGTGCAGCGGGCTCCCCAGTTTCCTCCTCGTCTCAACCTCTACTCACCTGCTCCTATGTCCATAGTGTCAGGGGCCTTCCCAGTGCAGCGGGCTCTCCACTTTCTCCTCGCTTCAACCTCTACTCACCTGCGCCAATGTCCATAGCGTGGTGTAGGCTAAAACTCCCTTGGCTAGCCCTCCACTGTAGTTAGCTTTCTTGAACCACCAACCACCCTCAAGCTTCCCCTTCACCACCCAATGCTCCGTGTGAGAGTGCCCTGCAACCAGTGATGAATGATCAAGCGATGCTGCTACAGAAAGAAAAAAAGAGAAAACATATCTGGGATCCGTCTTTCCTGGTTGGGGTGAGCTCCACCCCGAAATCGTGGTCAGACACATGTAGAAGAGTACTTTTGAGTATGCCCCACGACCAGCATAACAACTTCGGGATCCTTTGTTCCCTGTTGGGGTGAGCTCCACCCTGAAATCGCGATCGGATACATGCCCGAAGTACGCTCCACCCTGAAATTGCGATCAGATACATGTCCGAAGTACTTGTGTGAGTATGCCCTACGACCAGTTGCATAGGCCGACGATGTGATACATGTACGAAGTACTCGTGTGAGTGCACCATGGAAAGTGTTAGACACTGAAGCCCTATGCAAGGGAAACGATGTGTATCTGAGATGTAAGTCAACAACTTGGAGGTGTTGAACACATGGTACGTTATAAGGAGTGGAGGTATAGCAATGACATCTGATGGGCCTTCAGTGACTAACACTTTCCATGGTGCTCTTATGTGCTGGCTGTAACTTTCGCAAGATCCCTTCAGGCACAAATACTTAGACTTCACGCAAATGAGGTCACCAACAGCGAACTGTGATGACCTTCTATGCTTATTGGCCTGCTCTACCATCTTCTAGTGGTTTGTGTTTCTAATGTTCTATTCAGCTTCCGGAATGTTTTTCTTGGGTCGTAACCTTATACTTTGAATTTGGTTCAGGCAGTCGATAGGCCTACATGGTGGGTGTCTAATCAGATGGCGTGGATAAATTGCTGCCACTGCTCCACCATAACTCTGACATGCCTATCACTAACTACGGTCAGAGACTGCCCTTTATCCTTGACCCAGTTCGCTGGAAGGGGAATCAATTCTGACGAGCAACTATGGTTAAAGAACTGAGCAATAACTTGGTCTGGCTTTGCTTTAGCTGGAAGGGGAATTGGTTCTGCAACTACCATCACTTGAGTGGTCCCTCTTCTTCTGTTTACTTTTGTGTCTATTATGATCCTACTCCATTCACTAAGAAAAACTAAATTCCGGAAAAATGGAATAAGTATTCCCCCTTACTGCCAGCATTCAAAGAGCCCTCCTTTGGGCATAACCTCAGGTCTCTTCTGTCCGTCGCAACCATGACTAGGGCGGATCATCCATGCTCATCCCGGATGTTCAAAGGGCAACACAATCACTCCTGTGCCTCTTCCATGTCATTTCCCCATAGCGGTATTCTTGGATGAAGTCCAAGACCAACCAGTATTCACACAAGGGCCTTTATTTATTTTATTCATTTGTCATTTGACTATTCTGAATTAAATAATCAATAGAAAAATCAATTGTATCAAAAATAGAATATTATTGTTATTCTTTTTTTATCTATTTAGTAGAAAGTCACAGACTAAACCTAATTCAGCAATTTTCCATTTTTCAAAAACATCAGGATTATAGAAATTAATAAAATACATAAGTGATAATGCATGAAAAACCAAGTGAAGATGAAGGTCAACCATAGCCAAAGGTGAATCTCTGATGCCAGTTCCCTCTCTATCCCCTTCATCCTCACACCCTTCTCTCACCCTTCTCCACAACCTGGCATGAGGTGCCGTACCCAGCACCATGTCAGTTCCGCTCTCTCCCCTTCATCCTCTCACCCTTCTCTCTACCTCCATAGCGTACGTAGGCCTACTCCCTCCTTCCACTACTCCGCAATAGCCAGGGAGGTCTGTCCCTCCACTCTCCAGGTCCACTGCTCAGCAGGAGCTCTGCCTTCATCGTTTGGGAGGAGCAGCAGCATGACGGCAGGGTAAGATACTGCTTCACTCACTGTGCCCGAATGGTATACTCTTGCAATTTGGCCTTCCTCCTTGCTTCGTCCGTGGTACTACTGCCTCACCGGTGTGCTAGGCCTACTGGGAGTTCCTGCCTTTTGGCGGGAACATCATCACAGCCTGCAATCCTACCTCAGGGCCTGATCTAACCTACCTGCGGTCTAAGTAAGGGCCCTGACTAATGAATCCTGGGACCTCTGCTGGGCCTGAGGTGCTGGAAAATCGCTATTGCATACTAGCCAAATTCTACTTGTGTCCCAGTCTGTCCTGGCCTTTTTAAAAGTCTCGGGCACCCAATTTAAGTCTTGTTCCTGCAGTTCGTGTGTTTCTCATGTACCTCCTCTGGAGACACAAAACGCAGGACAAGCTCGTAGTTAGTACTCCGTATAGCAATCATCACACAGGGACACAGGCAAGCAAACATCGATTGCACACAGAACATAGAAATCTCAGCAAATCAGACTGTCAAGCAGACTGATTCTGTGCGGGTCGGTGCATGTCCATGACACAGACTCGTCCAGTCCTGAGGAATGGGCATTGTTTTCGGCCTCTGGCATCTGACATGCTGAA